ACCACCTGGAAGACCCTGGTAGACCCCAAAACTGCCCCCATCAGATAAACAGCACTTAAAGCTTTCATCTCTGAGAGAGAGGAGAAAATCAAGCTGCTTCAGATCTGAAAACATCCACAGGTGTTTCTGTCCATCCTTCCACTGTGAGAAGACAACTCAGCGCTGTGGGTCTGAAAGGATGTGTAGCTGTCAAGAAGAACCTCACTGAGAAAAGGAGACGGACACATCAAACAAAGAAGCTGAACAATGGACTGACCACCCCAGAGTCCAGACCTCAACACCACTGAATGTGTTTGATTACTTCAGAAAATGATCAACCAGCTTCTAAGACTGAACTTCGGAGGTGTGTCTGCAGATTCTTTGAGGAACTGAAAGTGAGTCTCCTGAAAAGAATGGAAGCTCGAATAAAGGGAAGGAGTGATACTCTTAAAGAAGTTGGTTCTTCAGGGGTTCTTAAGTAAAGACAATGGTTCTATATGGAACCATGAGCACTCAGATTTGCATGCTTAAAGCGTTCTTTGAATGGTGAAATGGTTCTTCAGATTGATGGAGAATGTGTTGTATATGGTTCTTTAAAGAACCATTTTGAAAATGTTCTCATAGAACATATATATGTGTGTGTTTGTGTGTGTGTGTGTGTGCGTGTATGTGTGTGTATTAGATTTTATTTTGTTGCATTTGACCAAAATGTGCACTGAAACACCCAAACAAAAAACGAGAGAGAGAGAATGTGGTGGAACGAGTGTGTGTGTGTGTGTGTGTGTGTGTGTGTGTGTGTACGTGTGTGTGTGTGTGTGTGTGTGTGTGTGTGTGTGACACAGAGATAGGGGAGTGCAAAGTCTTGTCAACCGGAAATAAAAGAAGCTGGCATCCCCCCATTTCCTCTCCCTTCACCCCTCCCCTCTTTCTTTTCAGCTGGGGTTATTTATACTCTGATGTAGAGCTCAGTTCTCTTCATCGTCTCATCCTCAGCCACTTCTCTCCATTATTATCTCCATCTAAACTAATGTTCACCTCACACGGCTGCACAGAGCTGAGCGGAGCTTTTGTTCTGCGTTGTTATTCTGTAAGTGATAAAGTGTTACAGACTTACATCCAAATCATGAGCAGAATAAACTACTTTGATACAATTGCTAGAGATAGATTTTGGGGATATTAAAAGGGTGAAAGAGAATTTGTGATCCAGGACTGATCATCCAACAGCAGTACCTGTCCTCATTAATGCTCTTGTGGCATCAAATCCTCACAGCAATGCTCCAGCACTTAGTGTAAAGCCTTCCCAGAAGAGAAACTCCCCATTAAACCCCTTTATTTCATAAGAAATGTTGGAGTCCACAGACTTTTGGGCAGATAGTGCATCAGGTGCCACGTTTACATTTACATTACAAAGACTTATACATTTCACCACATGGTATCTCTAACAGTTCACTTCTTGAAACATGCCTTACTTTATATAGAATTTAAACAAAAATCTGTTGAATTCCCCTTCACAAATAAAGGTACCATAAAGATTTGTTTGTGGTATGGAGGCCCTAAGTTGACACAGTGATTTTTTTAATGAGGTGTGGAATTAATGTATTGAGGCCATTAGTTAAGTCCTCGCCTCATTATATTAATTTGTGGCCTTAGTATAGTGATTTGTGGCCTCAATATAGTAATTTGTGGCCTCAATATAGTATTTTGTGGCATCAATATAGTAATCTGTGGTCTCAATATAGTAACTTGTGGTCTCAATTTAGTAATTTGTGGTCTCAAGATAGTAACTTGTGGTCTCAATATAGTAATTCATGGCCTCAAGATAGTAATTTGTGGTCGTCAATATAGTAATTCATGGCCTCAATATAGTAATTTGTGGCCTCAATATAGTATTTTGTGGCATCAATATAGTAATTTGTGGTCTCAATGTAGTATTTGTGGTCTCAAGATAGTAATTTGTGGTCTCAATATAGTAATTCATGGCCTCAATATAGTAATTTGTGGCCTCAGTATAGTATTTTGTGGCATCAATATAGTAATTTGTGGTCTCAATGTAGTATTTATGGTCTCAAGATAGTAACTTGTGGTTTCAATATAGTAATTCATGGCCTCAATATAATAATTTGTGGTCGTCAATATAGTATTTTGTGGCATCAATATAGTAATTTGTGGCCTCAGTATAGTATTTTGTGGCATCAATATAGTAATTTGTGGTCTCAGTGTAGTATTTGTGATCTCAAGATAGTAATTTGTGGTCTCAATATAGTAATTTGTGGCCTCAATATAGTATTTTGTGGCATCAATTTAGTATTTTATGGCGTCAATAGTAATATTATAATTTGTGGTCTCAATGTAATATTTGTTCAATGCCTTAATATAGTAATTGTGATTTGTAATTTGTAATGTGTTATGTTCCTCAATATATTAATCTGTGGCCTCAATATAGTAATCTGTGGCCACACCATTGTTAAAATAATCCCCATGACATTTTAGGGGCGCTGTAGAAAACGGAACATACGGGTCCTTTAATCCAGCGCGCTAGTGCTGCTGCAGCCCGCGCGCACGAACACTTGTCATTTAAAATTCAAACGTCAACGGAAAACTCAACGGTTCAGCCGGAGTCGACGGTAAGCTTTAGTTCTTCTGGTTGACTTTCTCACCAATATTATCCTGAAACGCATTTATCCGCTCGTAATTGTACGTCTGGTAAATTAACGTGATCTGATAATAAACTTAAAGTTTTTAAAATCGAATTCCAGTATCTTTTACATCGGATACCCCTGTGTGAATTGAGCCTGCCAGGCTAGCTAAGCTCAACGTTACCCTAGCAGAGTAACGCTACTCCATACTGAGACTGGTTAACAGTGAATGTCATAAAAATGCAAAGCTATTAACTAAATATGTCCTGTCTCGGTAGCAGTTACTTAGCTAGCTAAGCTAAGCTAGCCAGGTTTAGTTGTTACTAAACCAGTTGGTTCTCTCTGTACCTCAAGGTACCAAAACCAGAACCAAGTTTAACCTGATTTAGCGCACCAGTCCTATGTTCAGGTTGTTGGTGTGTATTGGACACCATGAACCCGTACAGATATCTGATGAATGGCAATTTGTGGATTTTAAAATATGACATATATTAGCATATATGGATTTCCCTTAAATATCAAACAAATATTAGTCACGTGGTTAATAAGATAAAACATAAACAGCAGCTTATTTAAAATGGGCTGTTTTTAAATATGGGACATATATTTCAGTCATAGGTTAACGTTATATCCCTATACAAACATATATCTGTAACATTTGTTTATCATTATACGACAGGAAACATTATTCCTGTATGAATGGCATATAATCATATAAGCTAGCTGCATAGGATTTTAATGAATGCATGCTGCTGGTGTATTTTTTGCTTTTAAAAAAGTAATTCTGTGTATGTATCAGACAGACAATATGATCCATAAATTATGCATACATGGCCAGTATTTGATACTAATATATATGTACACAACACATATGTATATATATTTTGAAAAGCATGCCTGACCCTGTGATATGTGTACATGTGAGCTGTACCATAAGATCAGTACCAAATGAATACATTTTTTTTGTTCATGTCAACAAACCAGATTTCTGTCCTTTGTAATTATTACATCTTTCCTTCGTTTGAACTCAGTTCCTTAAAAAGGCATTAAATACACTCTCCGTCATGTCATTTAATGCAGTTGTGATCACATTTTATTTTTATGGCTAAATACGCTGGTGTGATTAAAAAAAAAATGAAATCTCCAAACAAGTAACTTTACAGGAGAAGGGTAATCTTTCTTTTAAATGTAAGAAAATGTAACAAAACTTAATTCTAAATCATTTTGTACTGTTTCTGTTGGTCTGTTCATCATGACATTGTAACAAAATATGAAAAGCAGCTGGCATTTTTAAAATAGGTGAAAAAAACAAAAATGGAGATACAAGGTTTTGTTCCAATATATGTGTGTACCTTACATTGCGTGTACATTTCATGGTGAATGGTCCAAAAGAAATGGCCCAAAATTACTTGACAGAAATTCTGGTCTCATTGTCTTACATTAAACGTAAAGTAAATTTTTTCCTTCTTCTGAAAAGTTACCATTTTGGAGATACAAGGTTTTGTTCTGACAGCAGCGATACACGTACATACATATACACACACACACATATACATACGTCTGATGGGATTTGTATGTATGTTATTTGAATAAAACACTTAATAGGAGATTTTTTAGCATCAAATGTTATGGACTGTAATGACCCTTATTCTGATTGTAGGTCGTTTCTAGAACCGTACATCTGAGCCAAGAACCATTCAGGATCTTTTATTTTTTAAGCGTCTCTGTATTTGGGGGGTGAAATGCAAAGTGGCCTTTTCCAGCTTCAGTTGAAGCTTCATCACCGGAAATGAACTTATTATTGTTGGCCTAATAGTGACAGGAATAGGATTAATAAAAACAGATAACTTCAGGCATTTTAATGGATTTCAGTCCTGATGACCAGTTCATACAGCCTGACCTTTAAATACTACATTCATGAGCACTCTATTGTCCTTCCACACTATAGGCACTTCGTAAGGCCTACATTTGGATTATTGAGGATGTTAAATATTAATTTATAATGTATTCATTTCCTTATGCTGCACCATTCTCCACTCTCTTTTTTCCTCCACCTCTCCATTATCTCTCGACTTTTCATTGCTCCTCTATCTCCCCCTCCTCCCCCCACCCTGACATTAAGTTCAAACTTGACACTGATGTTGACTCACTGTGTCACCCCTCTCTCTCTCTCCCTCTCTTTCTCTCTCTCTCGCTCTCTCTCTCTCTCTCTCTCTCTCTCTCCCTCTCTCTCTCGCTCCGAGGACAGAAGTGCCTGCAGACGCATTTCTCTCTTGAGCCCTCCCTCTCTGTATCTCTCTCTCTCTCTCTCTCTCTCTTTTCCACCCTGTCTAACTCTTGCCATCTCTCTCCCATTCTCCCCCCTGCTATCTCTTCCACGTATAGTCCATTGTCAACAAAGAGACCGAGCCGGGTTTCGGGAAGAAGGGATGACTTCGCGCCGGGCTCTTTGATGTGTCACACATAATTCGGCCTTTGGTAAGTTTTTATTTAGTTTGTTTTCTTTTTATTTTTTACCTCCATTTCAGTAGGTGTGTTGTCAGGCACAAGTTAGGAGTGGGCAGATTCAGGAGATGCATAGAGAGGAGTGGACGTTGACAACGATTAACCACAAAGTGCGACACACCTCGGTCAGGTCAGGTGGCATCTGGTCTGTGAACTTCAAGAAAGCATTCGGACAGTGATGAGCAGTTGTTCTGTGTTTGATGATCAGTTGTCACAGCGTTGGACCATTTAGATGACAGTCTTGATGTTAAGCCACATTATGGAAACCTTCTGGCCTTCTCTCCAGATTTCTGCTGAAATTCTGCCCAGATCGCCCAATTAGTACATTTAAAGGTCACGAGTGTAATTCAGCTTCCAAAATATGTGTGATTTATTTGCCAGTCATTCACTGACAATTCAGCCTTTAGCTCTTCATGAGGTTTTTTTTTTCCTGTTGTGAACATGAACAGTAAACCATCAGTTCACTGAAAGCTGGGAGGAATGAAGAAAAGTAATAGAATTGTAGATATTCTGGCAAAATTGTGGGGTTAATTTTTTACTCTGCGTTAGCCCTACGGAAAAGTAAGTAATTTAATTTTGGGGTAATTGTGTATCTGTCGAATACAGATTTACATTTTTTTCTGTTTGGAATAAATGATAGAGTGTTATAGATAAGACACGTATTATTGTACAGATGAGGCTTTAGACATTGAGATATTTAAAAAAAAAAATACACAAAATGTCTATATTCAGAAACAATCTAATAACTCTTTCACTTTGTATTTATGTACTACGCCATCCTTTCTCTAATGTAGCTGCTGTTCCCAGCGCTCCCAGTGTATGAATGTAGAACACGAGAGGAAGCGCCGCGTTCGTGTAACGAACTCCGTCTCTATCTGTCAGCATGACGCTAATTCACTTTAATGCCAGACATGTGTGAATTCAGGCTTACACTCCTTTCTCTCTCTCTCTCTCTCTCTCTCTCTCTCTCTCTCTCTCTCTCCCTCTCTCTGTCTCTCTCTTCATCCCCTTTTCTGGGTCAAGAAGAAGAAGGGAGACTCAGAGATCAGGAGTCAAAGGTCAAGGGTCAGCTATTATTCTTTCTTGGTTACAGAGTCGTTTCTCTCTTTGTCCATAGGTTGAGCCGGCGATGTACGAGAAGTTAACCATGCTGAACCTGCAAAGCAGTTCAAACTGGAATGGGCCCAGTGACTGGTACCATCAACAAAACACTGTACCTACCCAGCACAGCACAGGTGACCAGAATTAGTGCATTTACGTTTTAATGGATGTTAGGTAACATTTATACATCTTCTAAAACCAAAAACAAGAAAAAACTAAACAAGCAAGCATTCCTGTAGTACGCTTATCAATTTGCATTATTATCTGTTTATAACTATTTGGTAAAATAGCAAATACCACCAATAAACACTACAAAAAATGATCTTAGCAAGTGAAACACCTCAAATAATAGATATATTGACCTTAAATCTAGTTAATATATCTAATACGTCTCATTTTGAGACTGTTATAAGAAGATTATGAGATTATTTAACCGGTTTCTGTACATTTATACTCATTTTAGGTCATTTTATCCAGAGAAAGTGATTCTATTGGCAAATCATTTGCTTGTTTTGTGAAATACTGAAGACAATTTTGCTCAATTTAAGAAATAATGCTTAAAACAGGTGAAACTATCTGCCTAAAGAATAAGAGACTTTCATAAGATAAAATGACTTAGAAGAAATAAAAAGTGTCTATAAACAAGTTGAACAATCTCATAATTATCTCACAACATTATAAAGAGAAATATTAGATACTTGTTTAGATTTAAGGTGTTTTCACACCTGCTAACATCATTTTTTTGCAGTGAATATATTTAAAGATGTGAGTTGTGCAGCTTTAATTTACAAGTATTTCTGATTTATTTACCATAATTTGTGAAAAGCCTTTAGTTAGTCCTGTAATTATATTTAATATTAAGCCTTTAACATAAAAATAATTATAATAATAATTAAGTCTTTAACAAGCTACCTGTGTTATTATTTTGAGGTTTTGGGTTTATGTTATACTGTATTCAAAATTATGCCATAGTTACGCTGTTAATATCCTTTGATGGATGTATAACAGGTCTTTTAATTAAAACAACATGAAAAACTTTCTAATGAAAGTTTAAATATAAATCTTTACATTTTATTTAAAGTGAAATCATGCAGGTCATGAGGCATCTTTAATCTGTATGTATTCATTTTTTTAAAAATTACTAGATTAGATTATAATCTTGGAGATTGTTTTATCATTTTATTATTTCAAAGTAATCTCCTAGATTATTATTATTATTATTATTATTATCATCTGCACTGTTAAAAAAGAGGGTTCTTTAGAAAAGACAGTGGTTCTGTATAGAACCAAGAACACTCAAAAAACATTTAGATGGTGAAATGGTTCTATAATGGTTCTATGGTATTGTTATGATGTCAAGCTTGTAACAATAGAAGAACCTTTTTTGGTGCTTGAAGAACTGTGTTCAAAAGGTTATTTATAGAACCATATACAATACATTCTCCATCAATCTGAAAAACTATTTCACCATGCAAAGAACCATTTGAACATGCAGAGGGGTTTTGAGTGTTCATGGTTCAATGTAGAACCATTGTCTTTACTAAATAACCCCTTTTCAAGAGTGTAATTAAATACTCTGTGTAAATATTCTGTGTATATTTACTGTATAGATACTATATTATGATGATGATTATTATTTTTATAATAATATATACTATAATACTTGTTTATAAATGCTTAAAAACAAGCACTCTTTGTTTGTCCAGCCTTGTATTATTAACGTGGTAAGAGCTCACATTTGAACAGAAGCGTCTCTGTGTTCTCTCAGAGTCGTAACTGTGGGCTGAATTTAAAGGGTCAGTAGGATTATTTTGCTTGATTGTGCTCTGATCTAAGTGTAAAAGCCAAGGTGTAAAACAGCTCTCACTTTGCCGGCAGTGTCGGAGGGCTGCCTGGTGGAGGCGGACGCAGGGATGGGGCTAACAGGAGGAGGAGGAGGGCAGGTAGAGAGGGATGAAGGTGAAGAGACGCAGCTGCGGCTGCAGCTGAAGAGGAAATTGCAGAGGAACCGAACCAGCTTCACTCAGGAGCAGTTAGAGGCGCTGGAGAAAGGTAGGAGCTGCAGCTCTTTGGTTTATTTGGCCTGTGTTGTAGGGCTGGGCGATTAGTCAAATTTTATTTGCGATTACGATTTTGGCTACCAATGATTATGAGGACAATTCTGTTTCGCAGCGATGCTCTCGTTTTGTCTGGTGTTATAAATCCAGCGTGCCAATTTCCTTTATTTGTCCTTTTTTTTTAAATTTGTTTTTCAAGTTTTTTATTAAAGTTCAGTAAATGCATGATGTTTCCAAAGTCAAAGAGTAATCGTGTTAGGTAATCGTGATCTTAGTACTGACCAAAATAATTGAGATTATAATTTTTGCCATAATCAAGCAGCTCTAGTGTGTTGTCAGTATGGACTTCATTGCTGGGTGATTATTGAACTGTAAGTTTACCTGTTTGGGTGATTGAGCTGGGGGTGGTCCAGTTCATCATCATGCCATCTTGATTCTATGCTATACAAAAGATGGTTCTATAAGGGTTCCTTAGTAAGGAAAATGGCTCTGTGTAGAACCAACAATACTCAAAGAACCCTTTGCATGATTAGAAAATGTGCATGAGTGTGCTATACATGGTTTTATATAGAACTTTTTTGAAAATGGTTCTATATAGTACCCAAAGGGGGCTTTCTGTTGTTATGATGTCAAGCTTGTATACATTAGAAAAACCCTTTTCAAAAAGGTTTCATATAGAACCATCTATAGCACATTCGTGCACATTTTCTATCAGTCTGAAGAATAGCCCTTTGGTCATGCAAAGTGTTCTCTGAGTGTTCATACTTGTATATAGAAACATTTTTCTTACAAAAGAACCCTTGAAGGACTGTCTTTTTCAAGAGTGTGGAGGTGGAACAGTGTAGGACATTTCCTAACATGGTATCTAAATTAAAAACAATGTATTATATTTATATAACTTTTTATTATAACTACACTCACATCTCTCTGCCAGGGTTTTCACGAACTAGCATGCTACCAAGCACGCTTTACACTGTCTGTCTGTGTGTCCTGGTGCCTGGGGACCACAGCAGTAGAGCTGTTTGCATTCTTAGAAGATCATATGCAGTAATCAGAATTGTTACAGTTTGAACAGTATGATTATCATTGGGTTTATTCCACGATATATCATTAAAACTGACAACCATCCCATCTCTATACAACATTTGCATATTTAAATAGACAAAATTACATCTTAGCGAGTAAAAACACCTTAAATCTAGTTAACATATCTAGTATTTTTCATTATGGGACTGTTGTAAAATGTTTTGTCATTTTATCTAGAGAAAGTCTGTGCAAATTATTTTACTTGTTTTGTGAAATACTGAAAATAATTTTGACTATTTCAAGAAATAATGCTAAAAACAAGTGAAACTGTCTTCCAGTGGAATACACTTTCATAAGATAAAATGACTTAAAGAAAATAAAAAATGTCTATAAACAAGTTAAATAATCTCATAATATTCTCACAACAATCCCATAATTACAAGTATTAGATATTTTGACTAGATTTAAGGTGTTTCCACACATGCTAAGATATCTTTTTTTTGCAGTGAATATATTTAAAGAGTTGTGCTGCTTTAATTAAGATTCACAAGTATTCCTAGTTTATTTAAAATTTGTGAAAATCCTTTAGTTAGTCTCATAATTGTTTTTGATATTAAGCATTTAACTAAATAATTACAGTAAGTCTTTAACAAGCCTACTTGTGTTGATATTTTGAGGTTTCCAAATTTGTTCAGACTCCAAAAGTTCATATTCTCAAAAGTGGTCTTGGCATATCTTACTGGAGCTGCACAGTGATATTAGATTATATTGATATCTGCAAATCATCACCTTTTCTTAAATGGTATCATACAGATGTTTAGATTTGACTGATATGTCAGACTGCTATTTGATGATAAATTTATTATACTCTGGAAGAGTAGAATGCTGGGCTACTGTGCTGTCTTGTCTGCATTTTATTCATTTTATGCACTTGTGACTTGTGAATGTTATATTTCTCTGGAACGCTGAAAGAGGTGGATCTCATCCTGATTTCTGCATTTTATAAACGTTGATGTATCAGCAGCAGAAGATGTGAACATGAAAAGTGTTTGATATCAGCATCAGTCCACAGTTCCTGTATCAGTGCATCCCGCATGTTGACTACAGAGGTGTACAATAGCTTTGGGCTGAACAATTTGGGGAAAATATCTATTGCAATTGCAATTTTACTTATCAATATTGAGAATGTTATTCATATTGCAATTATTTTGCAATATTTTATAACAGTCTGTTAGTTGTGGTTGTGATGTCACAGCACAGGGGTGTTTGGCTGCGTCTGATTGGCCCAACACATCTACAAGGACCTCACAAGTTCTGTGTGATTGGCTTACGTTTCCCCCCTTTAAAACTTGCCGAGATATGAGTATCATTTTATATGAAAGAGCCTTTAAAGGAGAGTTTAAGAAGATCTGCACAAATTGAGACAATGACCTCATCCAGAATATTATTTTAACAAAAACTCATCTGTAAAATGGTAACTTTACAGAAGAGAAAAGTTAAATGCTGTAAGATTTCATTTGAAGTAATTTTTGACCATTTCTGTTGATCTATTTGTCATGAAATGGTCGCATAATGTTGGTGTAAAAGAATAAGCAGAATAAGAAACAAAAATGTTACAATGTAAATAAATGATGACATAAAAAGTTATGATCCTTTCATATGACAGTAATGAGAAGTGTAAGCTAATTGAAGTGATTTCAAAAATAAAGAGTTCATCTCAGTTCCAAATAATAAAACAGAGAGTGGGGGGATTGCTGTGTTGTGTGTGATTCGGAGTGATATTGCGTTAACAGATTTCAAATGGCGTTGTCGTCTGCACCACTCGCACACATTGCACGTCTCCCTGGCTGACCTACTAAATCCTGCCATCACCTCACACACACACACACACACACACACACACAGACACACATCTAAAGACCACATCACTGCACAGCACTGCCACAATCATCACACGCACCCCAAGTCACCCCCTCCCCACACTTTCCCCCCATTCCTCAATTTATGTCTGGGTTAAAGCCCTGCTAATTAGTGGCCTCACTGAGGAAGACTGAAGGCGAAGAGGGAGAGGATGAATACATGAAGGAAATAATGACAGGACATTGATGAATAATGGAAGACAAAGGACAAGTGCGTCTTGAGGGCCGTAGCATGTAGCAGCGTTTTAGAAACAGTGAGTGTGTTTACATGCACTTAATAATCCGATCCTTATTTGATTTCTGCAGTTATCTGATTATTTGAGTGGTCGTGTAAAGAACATATTCCAATTTTTAGATCAGATCAAGGCCTAGAAATAAAGAGAGCTGAATTTGAGCTTAGTAATCGGTTTCTCAGTGCATTAACACTCTTACTGCACTCAGTCTGCGCATGTGTGAAAACAGAGCGCTGTCCCGGAAACAGCATGCAGTGTTTAACAAAGCACCCGTGAGATGCCAACAAAACACTTTTGGAGCGACACTGAAGCTGATTACATGCCTGACGAAATGAAGGATTTAAATATTATTCATCTTCTAGATGATGTATGTTCATATTTTCTGCTAAAGTGACGATGTTTAGAAAAAAAAAAAACGCTGTGACGTTTGAGTTTTAGGTTCTGTTCACGTCACATCTGTCTCTGTGAGTTTATTGGCTGATGGCAAAGCAGAAATCCGATTACTGTCTGACTCATGTAGACCTAGAGTTTCCCCATTATGTGATTACCCAAGTGTAAAAATGTTGAACGAATTTCTGACAAAATCTGATTGTCTGTAGTTATCAGAGTATAAAGTGCATGTAAATTAATTGGGATTATTTGTATATTTTATAATGTAATTATTTGTAACTTAAATTTATGTATATTTGCTTTGTCTTGCAGAGTTTGAAAGGACACACTATCCTGATGTCTTTGCCAGAGAGCGGCTAGCTAACAAAATTGACCTCCCAGAAGCGCGGATACAAGTAAGTGCCTCGTGCCTCTTTTAGAATTCAGTTCAACCTCAACTGGCTGTGCAGTAAAACCACCATTGCACCATCTACATTCACTGTCCACTTTCTACTTCCACTCTCTGTTCGCATTATGAGCTCCATTATGTAGATCCACTCTGTATGTGTACAGTTATAGGCTGTAGTCCATTGTTGCTGCGATATTTATTAGCCCACCTCTACCACATTCATCACTGGTCACTTCACGATCACAGGACTGCTGTATCATCAGTATTGCTAGGATGTTTATCTTGGCCTGATTACAATTGCACATAGAGATGTGCATCCCTAATGATAATCCATAACCATATGCTGGCCTCAGTAGCATACATGGAGCAATCAGACTGGGGCATCTTTATTGGACCCTTTATATCACATTGCTATTTATGCATTTTTACGCTCATGATTCATGAGTAGCTACAGTAACTTACTATACTTCAACCTTAAGCATAGTTTCTCTTAGTTCCTACCTTTTATAAATGTTTAAGTATTAGCATTGACAGATATGTGCACAAAATTATGGTTCTTAACAGGGTTTTTTAGTAAAGAAAATGGTTCTGTATAGAATCATGAACATTCAGAGAACCCTTTCCATGATTAAAGGCTTCTTTGCATCATGAAAGTGTTCTTCAGATTGATGGAGAATGTTCTGCAGGTGGTTCTATATAGAACCTTTTTGAAAATGATTCTATATATATAGCAGGAAAATGGGTTCTTTTATTGTAAGAAGTCCTCTGTCTTTGTGACAGTAGAAGACCCCTTGTTGGTGCTAATGGGAATTGGCTTAATGGTTTCCAATAGAGACCACTAGTTTCCTACAGAACACCTTTAGATCCCGTTAGGAAACCATCAGATGCATTTAGAATCAGGTATTGGTCACGTGATAAACCATTAGGATGCTTTACACTGTGATATCAACCCATTAAAAAAAGCCAAAACACATTACAAAACCTTTAGTACCAACAGACATGATTCATAGATAATGATTTCTATGGGTTTTTTCAGCAGGGTTGTGTTCTATGGATAAAATCAAGCCAGTGTGTACTGTCCTCCTCAAGCGTACAATGCAGAACATCATGTAAACTATGTGAAAATGTGTGATTTTATGTGGTGACGTTGGCTGTTGCTTGTGAATTCCAAGCTAATGACACCGTCCATTCACTTAAGACAGCAAGACAGATGGTTATGGTAAATAGAAGAATGGCTAAATTAAATGTTTCAAGGTGTTTTGGAGTTAAGACAGTGCGTACATTGAATAGCCCCTCCCATCTCTGTCATCTAAACTCATCATCATCATCATCAACAATAACCGCTTAGTCCAGATAGGGTCGCGGTAGCAGTTGGGAGAGCAGGGAATCCCAGATGACCCTGTGTCATCTAAACTGAAATTTCTTATTCCATGCAGTCTTAAACATCACAGACGTCCTGTGTAAACTGGCGTTGCCCACCTCCCAATAGAGACATTGCAGTTACAGTGTAACGTAAGGCTTTATGGCGGACTGTGTGAGACTAGTGTTCGCCCAATTCCAGCTGAGTCAGTGTGTTATTGGGGGAAGCCCTTCTGTGCTCCCACACAGTGTTTACTTCACAAACACAGTAAAGCAGACATGACAGCTCATCAGTTTCATCTGCCACATCTACGCTCCTCTGCGCGACCTGATTGATTGACAGGTGTGGTTCTCCAACCGAAGAGCCAAGTGGAGGCGAGAGGAGAAGCTGAGGAACCAGAGGAAGTCCGGAGGCGGGACTTCCTGTGGCCAAACGCACGCTCCGCTGACCACCTCCTTTAACCCGACCATCTATCATCAGCAGCATGGCAACAGTCCAGGTGGGTCCAGCAATGCAGGCATCTGGGTGTAAATATAATTTTAATTCTGTATTAGTGTAATATCTGTCTTCTGTGTGTGTCTGTAGTGTCCATGCTGGGTCACACCGAGACCACTCTTCCTAGCTACAGCTCCCTGTCTGTGTATTCTGGAGTCCAGGTTTGGTGTTTGCACTACTCTCAGTACGAATAATGATGTAAGACAAAAATGACTGAAAAGTATTGAATGGAAAGATTTTATAAACATTTCCTAATCAATGTATGTAAGACTATACAGTTTAAATTCTTAAGTGTTTTTAAGAAAAATGCTTTCGTGAAATAATCTAACCCTCGTTACAGGGGAATTGTACATTTTTTTTTTTTTAATTCTGCATAATTCGGTGTTTGAGAAACAATGTGAAATGGTTTATTGTAGGGATTTCTTTACAGTGGTGGTGATAGGAACCAGGGGTCGCCATAACTACAACACAAATATAGACATTTTATTTACTATCCAGAACCACCAGTGAACCTACATGAGTCTTCTGAGTTTATATGTGGAATGTTGATGATGGTAAAATAGTGAAAAAACTGAAACAGTAAGTTTTCTTTAGAGACTGTTTTGACTCACAACACCCTGCATGTATCCCTCCACCATGAATGGGTTTTAAAAATACATTTTAGGCCAAAATTATCGTAAAACAGTGTTTCCGACATCAGGCAGTGAATTCATAACTATTTCATATAAGAACTTTATGTGAGGGAGCTTTGGAGGTGGACGTCTGGTTCCTGTCACCACCACTGTGAACAATTCTGACTTAGTATGTTTCTCTAGCATGGAGAATTTCACATCAAACCACTTTGAACAGATGAATTATGAAAAAAAGTTGACGAAATTCTCTGTTAATAAAAATATGAGTTATTATTTTTTAGACTACATCCCTTAATAGGGCCAAAGTTGGCCAGTGAGGATGTTTTATTTGCCCTGCCTGAAAGTTGCCTGAACTCCTCCCTCTGACCCAATGAAAGAAAAGACATTTTTATGCTATATATAACTTACTCAGTTCTCATTTCCACTTTAAAATGGTATTTTTGGATTATGACCATGTTACTGGCAAATTGTTATTGTTATACATTTTAAAGGTTAATAAATCTACCTACCTTCTTTAGTGGCCCGTTTGGCCTACTCCAAATGCACCCAAAACAGAAGTTTTGGCACCCCTGCCTTAGTGATCTTCTAGTGCCATTTCAGGGGGCTTAATTTATTTATCTGTGGATCTGAGCTAAATAACTTACTAACCTTGATAATTCAAAATCATAGCTTGAGGTCTCAGAGGAAAAATCATTCTCTCTGCTTTTATTTTTAACCATTAACAAAGTGTAGGGCTAGGTGGAGTGCCTAGGCACATGGGGGCCCTCCAAAATGCTAGAGCTAGCCCTGCTTGTGATCTCTGTGGTTGAAACAAAGCCAATATGTACTCTCCTAATTGACACAAAACAATTCAGTATTCATGTTTCAAACTTATTTATGATATCATATGCCTAAAAAACAGGGAAAAGTAATGAGAGGCCCTGTTATCACAGATGGACAGAACATTTTAGCACATTTCATAATCTATATGATTATACAGTGAATATTTGTTTAGTGTTGGGGTTTGTAAGGACGAGGGTGATTTGTTCTTGCGTCTGAAAAATGCATGTTGCTTTCTACTGCCCTCTTGTGGGTCTGAGTAGAGCGGACACTTGGGAGAGTGATGAATTTAGTACTCATTTAAATATCAATACAAAAATCATACTGTGAAGACTTATTTACTTATTTTATTTTTTTCTCTACCCCACTCTCCTTTCCCTGGTATCCACCTCCTTTATGTTTTACTGTGGATTTATGTTCTGTTGTGTGAATTTGGATTTTCAGTCAGCCCCTCCTCAGTCCGCCCCCTCTTATTCATGCATGCTCCCCCCGTCCCCCTCTGCATCTCGATCTTTTGAGGCTTCGTCGTACCCATCGCCTCACCTTCCTCCTCCTACAGCCAGCACCAGCACAGGTACGTTTCTGCCTTTTGCTTTCCTCTGTTCCGGTCTGAACAACATTGTACCTGAAGGGCCATAGCACTCAACCAGTGTTTTCTCTGCTCTCACTTATCCTAAATTACAGCCATATCACAACACATATCCATATTAATAATTTTTTGCCTTAAGTGTGAGGACCTTGAGTGGTTTGTTTTTACAACATGGCAACAAAGTACAGAATAAAATAAAATACACAACTGTTCAATGACTAAGTGAATTATTAATAAAACTTACTGATAACAAAAATATATATGATGTATATATATATATATATATATATATATATATATATATATATGTCATTATTTCCGTTATTTGTGAAATAATAGGCAAAGATTGTTTAATGAACGCAATGTTTAATTTCAGTATTTAATGAGCAGGGAAAACTAAATACAGAGGGTCTGTGGCCCTCCAGTTCTGAAATTGCTACCCATCATGCTCTGTTTGTTAAAGGACCCATATCATGTAAAAAGTTTTTCCTTGCTGACTAAATGAAAGAGCTTAATGTAGTATGTGAAAATTGTTAAAGTTTCTCATTATTTACTCTCAAATGCAGAAGTCCACATATAAAACCACAGGGTAGGAAAAACCTTTTAAAGTCATTATGGTGTTTTCTGTGTGACTGCTAACATAGCCTACAGCAGCTTAGTCCCATTATTGATTAGTACTGCAGAGTGTTGTTCCTGCAGACTGGCTGTAGCAGAGTTATTGGAGTAGATGTGGAAAAGCGATTAAACGTTGTGCTATTGCTGTCTTTTGAGTAGCAAATAGATTACTGAAGCTTTCTAATCCGCACACATACATACAAATTTTGTGGCATCTAGTGATGAGGTTGCAGAGTGCAACCAACTGAAAAATCTTCCCTCACCCCTCCCTTTGTAAGCGTGTAGTAGAACCTATGGTGGCCGTCAGGTTTTCGGCCGTCACCTGTCCCCATTTCTTTTGCTTCTTCATGTTTTCGCCTCTTTGATGGCGAGGATTCACCCTCCTTGTCTTTTTCTTGAGCTAAATAATTTGTCTGATCCTCCATTTGCCAAAATGTAGGTTGTCAGACTTCTCACAACACAAAATATTTAGCCAGCAGCAGCAGCAACCACTGTTTCTTCTTTTTCAAGCTGCCACTTCAGCATAAAAATACAAAAGGCCCTCTAGAGGCAGCATTTGGTTTGTCTGTTCTGGGCTACTGTAGAAAGATGGTGGGGCTACATGGCGGCCTCTGTTATGAAGAGGAGCTGCTCCCTATGTAGATATGAAACATTAACACAATGATTTGTAGTTACACTAATAAAAAACATGGTGGTGTATTTTATATTCCATTTCTGCTAATAGATCTCCTCAAATCTTACACACTTCACCTTTATGGGCGTTTAGTACAGTTTTCATCTTTCATTTGATTAACACTGCGTTCCTTCATTCCTACAGGTTTGATCTCTCCTGGTGTTTCAGTACCTGTCCAGGTCCCAGGGAACGAGCAGAACATGGGGCAGAACCTGGGTCAGTACTGGGCCCGACTGCAGTGAAGACGAAGGGAACAAGCAGGATGAAGTGGGGGCGATGAAGGCTGACATAAGCGTTGAAGGGGAATTAAGTGCAGAAGGAGAAAGAGAGAAGCCGTGGGTGAACGCTCGACTGTTTCAGTTTGCGCTCTTTAGGGCAGCGTTGAGAATGCAAGTATCAGCGTTCTAGATTCTACCGTTCTAGATTTCTCGACTTGTGGATTTCTCCACAACTCAGTCTGAAAGGCGTGCTGCCATGGATGCAGTTGGATGCAGTCAGGGGTGGGCAGTGTGACAATATGTTACTATCTTGATAAGTTACGTCACAATGTCCTTTTCTTGGTAAATCACTTTTCTGAGTGTGAAAAAAACACTGAACAACTGCGTGGGTTGTAAAAACACCAAAAAAACATTTAGACCAATTATAGATGAGCCTGTAAACCAAAGTCTATTTTTAAACATTGTTTTTCTCTTTGTGTTCCTTCTCGAAATTGCTTATATTTGCCCAGGACTGAATTAAAAAAATAACTGTACTCATAGATTTTGTTGCATTTTCAATGGCATCCCTATTTTATTTGCTTCAACTTGTTTGTAAACCTCAGAATAATATAGGGCATCACAAAAATGCTTTCAAGTCCTGTACTGCTGTATTTTTGCCATGTTGCCCACCCTTAATTGGAGTGCACTGTGAGACACATTACATGTCTAGATAATGTGCAAAATAATTCAGGCCTATTCTTGTTTAAGAAGAATTTGCACACTTTTTGATGTAGTGTAGCAGAGAGCAGGGCACAGCCTAAAGGATGTTACAGACCAAACGAGATGGCAAAATGCTAAATATTTGATTGCAGGTTCTCTCTTTGGAATATCGCTGTGTTTTCCATGCTGCAAAGAAATGGGCAGAATACGTAGGCTATCAAAAAAAATACATATTATATATCAGCCGTATCAAAACAGGTCCTTTGCTCCCCACAAAATGGGCAGTGTGTAGGATGCAGGAGGAGAATGGAGAGTTACTCCACCTCATGCAGGAGCTGAAACTGTACGAGTGCTTTCATTCACATCTGGGATCTCAGCTGAGTTTGAGCTGATTCTGAAGATGCAGCAGCACTCTAAAGCACAACAGGCTGAATGTCTTTAAGTGCAAATAAGATCTGACTGTTTGCTCCAAGCAGAACAGACAAATTACGACACTGATACTGGCTACTGTCCATTTAGGAAAAGTGACAGTGACATAAAGAGCTTCATCACTTCATTCACAAGCTGAAACGTTGAGCTCTTTCACATTTACCTGATGTTTGTAGCTCAGTTTGAGCTGCTTTTGGCGACTCCAATCCTTCTGATGTTCTGTCTGCTGGACCTCCATCATCTCGGCGAATGTGATTGGTCAGTGAGTTCATGTCACCCCAAAAATCAAACAGAGGGCGTTTCTGCCGTCTGAAAAATAGCATCTGGTGTGCCAGATCATCATTTACTGTCGTCTGAATAAATCACACAAATAAATCCGTTTGGTGTAACTCATTTTGTTTCTTGCTAAATTAAAAATTAGACTAAGATTAATAACTGTTTTATACAAGCAACCTGCACATCTCTGCTACAAATAAAAACTGTTTCTAGCACCTACAGTTTCTGAACACTTCAGCCTAAAGCAGAGTGAGCTAAATATGGGAAACATATAAATATAATTTTTGGCTATAAATCACAAGAGTAAATATCAGCATGATAAAATGTCAACATATTTTACATCTATAGTATGTTTTTGTAGATTAAAGCTGAATTTACATGGGGGGTTGGACTTGTCTCGTTGTTTATTTTGGGAGTTTTAGTCGTTACACTGCTTTAAATCTAACTCCGCCATGTGGAGGCTGTACTTTAACCTGGCTAGCTCTCTCTATGAGTTTACATGCCTTTGAATGGTGCTATATTACAGCCACCCAGAGCGAGAATAAAATAATACAGTGATGAATTATGACCTTATACTCACAACTCAGTAATGAAAAAAATGATGATTAAAAACATCATTTTATGGTACAAAAAGAGTCTTCAGGGTGAATCTGGAGAAATATTTGTCTGATTACTGTCAAAATAAGTAGATGAAGTTGCTACGGGAACATGAGAAGTTAACTGCACTCTTAAAAAGGTTAAAAAAGATGGTTCTTCAAGGGTTCTTTAGTAAAGACATTGGTTCTAACACTCAAAGAATCATTTGCATGCTTAAATGGTTCTTTGCATGGTGAAATAGTTCATCAGATTGATACAGAATGTGTTCTGTATAATTCTATATAGCACCAAAAAGGGCTCTTCTACACTCTAAAAAAGATGGTTCGTCAAAGGCTCTTTAGTATAGAAAATGGTTGTATATAGAACCGTGAACCATCAAAGAACCCTTCACATGAATACAGGGTTCTTTGCATAATGAAATGGTTCCTCAGATTGCTGGAGAATGTGTTGTAGATGGTTCTATATAGAACCTGTTTAAAGAGGGTTCTATATAGCACCAAAAAGGTTTCTGCTACCCCTGTGACGTCAAGCTTGTCATGATAGAAGAACCCTTTTTGGCGCTTTCTAGAATTCTTTCTACATAGAACCGTCTACAGCACATTCTGCAGCAATCTCAAGAGCTCTGTCATGATGCAAAGATCTCTGTAACCATGTAAAGTGTGCTTTGAGTGCTCATGGTTCTATATAGAACTGTTTCTTTACTAAAGAACCCTTGAAGAACCATCTTTAAGTGTGTACAGTAACAATGTCAAGCTTGTTACAATAGAAGAACCATTTTTGGTGCTATGTAGGACCATTTTTAAAAAGGTTCTATATAGAACAATATATAACACAATCTACATCAATCTGAAGAACCATTTTATGTAAATGGTTCTTGGAGTGTTCATGGTTCTATAAAGAACCATTGTCTTTACTAAAGAACCATCTTTTTTAAGAGTCTACATATAAGATTTGGTATTGAGCCCTGCATTAGGCTGTGTCCCTCTCTCCCCCACTCAGTATGTGTGCTTAGGTACGCTTGTCCGAGCTTTCACCCACGGCCAGAGAGAACAAAGCGTAGGTCAAAGAGGAACTTAAACCCATGAAATTGTTTACAAAAATACCTGTGGAAACTAGAATGATGGCTTCAGCTTTAAGAACAAAAATCAAACCTCCTCAGACCATATAATTACAAATATACAGAATTATATGTTGCATTATAAGATACTGTGATGACAATGACATTGTGAAAAATTCCACACCCTTCACTTACTAACAGGTAAACTCTAACACTGTTTTTTGTTATTGGGTACATTTCAGAATCAAGTATCATTTCACACAGATCAGCTCGACTAGTACATGCAGACAAGCAAGGACGTATGTAATGAAATGTGATCAGTATTAAATGAAATGTGCCCACTACTAGCGTACTTAACGCTTCTGTCTGTCAGACAGCCTGAAATTCAGAGAACCGGTTATTATAGTGACACTTACTTTCTCCAGAAACCTGAACATATGACACCAAAGGCTGACCAATCCAAATATTTGCACTTAAGCGAAAGACTATCACTGATTATCAAGGAGCCAGTGACAATCATCATTGCTAACTGGAGATAAAGGATGCTGTGCACATATTTCTTAACCAATGAATTCCCAGCATGGTTTGTGAAGCGCCTGACAATCCAAAGTTTCTCACTTTTTTCTTTCTGTGACTTTTTTCAAATGTTCTTTTTTCTGTGTAAACATCTTTCTGTATCAGGATTGAGATCTGTGTATCCTGCTAGTATGTGGTCTTTAGTGTGGGAGTGTGTGTTTGTGTGCAGGTGTGTTTCGAAGGTTTTGAAGGGCATGAATGTAAGTGTTTTGTTTGTGGAACAGAAATGTGTCTTAATTCCTGCAGTCAACCAATTTTGTGTATGCATTGAACCCTTTAATAAAAATCTACATGTGAACTCCACACTCTGACTGTTCTTATTAAAGGCCAAACAGTTGCCTGGTATAAGCTATTCGCTTTCACTCCATTTTCTTACAGATTTGATACAGTTTGGCTTTTGCTTTTTTGCCTAAACCTAATGGGGCTAATGCCAAATCCAGACTCATTAGTGTGGGTTACAGAGAATGTGATCAGCTCTTGCCTAGCATTAAATGGAAATTCTACTTATTTTTCAAAATTTCTGCATAATTGAAGGTTAAATTGGCAGTGGTTTGGTGTGAAATGCTCTGTTCTAGAGAAACTTGCCATTTCAGAATTGTTCACAGTGGTGTGGTGATAGGAACCAGACGTCCACCTCTAAAAGCTCCCTCACAAAAAGTTACTACATGAAATGATTATTATAGTTTCAAGAAAATTCTGTCCTAATACTTATTTTTTAAATTCATTCATGGTGGAGGGTTACATGCAGGGTGTTGTGAAGCATAGTAGTTCCCAAAGAAAATGTATTGTTTTAGATTTTCTACAATTTTATCATTATTACCATTCCTTATTAAAACTCAGAAGTCACTTGTGGTTTTGGATAGCAAATAAAATGGCCGTATGTGTGTTGTTGGACATGTCGACCCCTGGTTCCTATCACCACCACTGTAAAGAAATCTCATCTCAACCACTAAATTATGCAGAATTTTTCCCTTTAAAAAAAGGAATTCCCCATTATTCAATGACTGATATTTCCCCTTTTTATCTGTTAAAGCATTTACTTTGATCGTTTATGTACCAGAAATTCATATATGTGTAGTTTTTTCCTCATCTGGTTATGCAAGATTATTTCAATCATGAAACAAAGAGTGTGGCTTGTCACACAATGTCCTTTTCTCAAGCTCTGTGACATTGCAGTATGTTACTATGACGGCTTAGATTAGTTTTCGCAAGTTCCACTTTTACATCTGGATCTGTTGCAATCTTGTTGTGGCGCTGAGTGGCGTGTAGGCTGGTTTCGTAGCCAGAATTGGGCAGGGCACTTTAAAATGTAGTGATGGCTCAACACAGAATACCTCTTGATAAGGCACATCGGAAAAACTGTTGTAGTTTTTACTTCATTTACACTGTTCCTCGCTCTTACTGGTTGGCAGTTTTATTCATGTAATACAGCTGGTTATATTTTTGATGAAAAAATATGTAGATTTCTTTAAACTTATTTGCTTAAACTTAATTTTATTTAAATATTTTTGCCATATCTCAATAATGAAATCTGGCTAATTTGAGTATAAAGTGGGAAGCGATGTGATTTTCAGTTTAAGATCCAGGGGACTTAAATCTGTGTAGTTCTGTATGAGGGGCGGAGCTAGAAGTGTTGGACAGAGAGCTGTCAATCAAGCAGCTTATTAGACACGCCCACTCAATTCTCAGAAAGGTCTGGTCGACGTGTTTTATCATATTTATGTCTTATATTTTTCATTCAAGCTTTGCTGGATGT